TTCCCTGTAGACCTTACATATTTRATGGTTGAAGAAAAAGGATTTAGTATTGACATGGAAGCATACGAAGAAGCAAAGAAAAAAGCACAACTTATAAGTCAGAACAAAGTTGGTGGTGATAAAGAGGTTATCTCCCTGGATGTTCATGCTCTTGCAGATTTACAGACAAAAGGTATATCAGCTACAAACGATTCACCGAAGTATAACTATAAAGCTATATCTGATGACCCAGACACAGAATATACATTTGAAACATGTACATCAACAATATTGAGTATTAGATTGATAAATCAATTTGTTAATGAAGTAGATACATTTCAAGAATGTGGAATTATATTGGATAGAACGTGTTTTTACGCTGAACAGGGTGGTCAAATTTATGACCAAGGATCTATGGTCAAAGATGAATTCACAGAGTTTTATGTTAATAATGTACAATTGCGTGGAGGGTATATTTTGCATGTTGGAATTCTTGAGACTGGTAGCTTAAAAGTGGGGGACAAAGTAGTTTTAAAGATTGATGAAAAAAGAAGGCGATTTGTAATGAATAATCATACTGCTACTCACACTTTAAATCATACTTTACGTGTGGTTTTGGGCGATAATCTAAATCAAAAAGGATCTTTGGTCGCTCCAGAAAAGTTACGCTTTGATTTCAACAACAAATCCGCTTTAACAGGAGATCAAGTTGCTAAGGTAGAAAAACTTACAAATGATGTAATAAAACGAAATGATACTGTGTATGCTAAAGTTGCACCATTAAATGATGCCAAACGTATAAAAGGCTTACGTGCCATGTTTGATGAAACTTACCCGGATCCGGTGCGGGTAGTTTCAGTAGGAGTTACTGTAGATAAACTTCTAACAGATCCAGAAGGAAATTCAGGATTAGAAACTTCTGTAGAATTTTGTGGAGGCACTCATTTGCATAAAACTGGACACATGGAATGTTTTACCATACTGTCCGAGGAAGCAATATCTAAGGGAATACGAAGAATAGTTGCTGTTACTGGTCCAGAAGCAACAAAAGCATACAATAGAGGTGAGGAACTGAAAAAAGATGTGATGAAATTAGACTCTACAAATGTGAATCTATCTAAAGCTATAATTGATACACAAGATAAGATAAATAAGTCTGTTATACCCTATTGGATTAAAGAAGAGCTAAGAAGTGTCTTATCAGGTTTAAAAAAAGGTATTGCTGAGGAAGAACGAAAACAACTAGCAGCTCTTTCCAGTGAATTAGTGAAATCAATAAAGACAAAGATATGTTCTGAGTCAGACAAATCTGTATTTATTTATAAGATAGATGTAGGTTCCAATACTAAAGTAATGGATAGCGTATTGAAATTGTTGAAAGCAGACATGCCTAATGTAGCAATTATGTTATTCTCTGAAGATACAGAAGGCAAAAGAATGTATTGCCAATGTGTAGTTTCTAAAGACTTAAACAAAAAAGGGCTCATGGCAAATAAATGGGTGAACCAAATTGCAATATGTAGTAATGGTAAAGGAGGAGGTAAACCTGACATTGCTCAAGCGTCTGGACCCAACACAACTGATATTGAACAATTAATAAGCATTGGTGAACAATTTGCTTCTTTATCGATCAGCTAATTAATTTTATTAATATTTTTGTATATTTTTATGTTAATTTGTTGTCATTTTTAATTTATGAATTAATTATGCTTCTTGCACGTATTAAATGTTTAAGAGTAATAATTACAAAAATATATTACATACATATTTTTCTGTACTTACCTTGTTTTCTGAATTTATGTGTAAGTGTTGACCAACTGATGCAATTTGTATGGGATTTTCATACATCAAACTGATGATTTATAATATAATTTTAAATTTTATTTAGTATGGTATATTAAGTATTTCGTCAACCAAAAGGTAAGAGAAATAATATTGAATGTTTCATTATTTTTAAATGGTATATTTAATATTATACTACTTGAATATCTATGTCAATAGGTAAATAAACACAGTTGCAGTGTTATGCATTTATTTTATGTAATATATGAATATGTTGCAAGTTTTTACCATACATTACATTTTATGTTATATTTTTAGAGGAACCGTCAAAAAAACAATATGTTTAATATCCTTATATTATTAATAGGTACTAAAATTTATGTTAGTGAAATATTAACATTACTTTCAATAACAGTTGTTTATTTGTACTAAAACAATTCAAAGTACAAAACAGCTAGTTGGTATTGATGTGTTATGTACAATTACATAGGTAGGTTTATTTAAATTTATATAAATTAATTTTATGCTTTTAGTACTATTTACATTATTTGCAAAATATATTATCAATAACATTGTGTCATCATGAAAACAAAGGTTATTTGATGATAAATAATAATTAATAACAATCCAAACTATTATAATATGCTACTATAACACTGAATATAGTTATGTATACAACATTACAGAACTATTAGGGAAGAAAAATATAAAAATTTACATATTGTTTACTGACCTATAATTTTATTTAGAATTTCTAGGTTTTTGGTATATTTAACAATTACCTAACTAATACAATGGAATAGTTAGTAATTGAAAATTGATCAATTAAAATTACTGTTATTGTATTGATTGTGGGCAGTGGGTTAATGATTCAAGAGTAAATTAAGTAATAACTATGAAAAAAAAAATACAATAAATAAATAATATTTCAAAAGAGCACGAGTGTTGCTAAAACAATTTTGATGACATATAATCTTATATTATAATCAACTAGTGACTTCACATTCAGCTTGTAACTTGTAAGTTGTAATATAATATTGAATTGTTTGGATTGGGTCTACTCAGCGTTAGTSACATGGTATTGATGAGTAAAGTCGAATTATTTATTAATATTATTATATACTATATTCAATATTATTTAATGCRATCTGCATGACTGTTGCAGGTATTATACTATTATTATTTTATAACTGTACATTTATCTTTTGCTAATGAATATAAGTCGCATCATACCTACCCCTGTAAATATTTAATCTATTTACAAGATAATAATTAATAATTGCTGTTGAGGGCAATGAATTAATAAAATGATTATTTTTGCATATCAAAGGATTTATCCAATTGTCTATGGATTCAAGACTGTACTTATATTAATTTTATGCATATTTAATTATGACATTTGTGTTCATGGTAGATGATGGGTACATCGTCAGTACCGCCTACCTGCCGGTAACCATACAATTTTTCTTTTTTCCTTATTGTTTTAACCAAAGTTGRCTATAAGTGAGGTAAATTGCATTTATGTAGTCATATATGTATTGGAGGTTAAGTAAATAGGTACCTACTTGTGAGTTGTGACATGAAGAACGCTGACTTTCAATGGGGATAACATAATAACAGTTTCATTGAACTTTTGCCCACTTCGCCCTCGTGATAAACGTAGGTACCACAGGCAGGTAGGTACCTGACCGCAGTCCTCATCTGTGTTTCCGTTTATATTTCGAACACAAACATTATAATATTATGTTATTTCATTACATTTTATCATTTGACGTTTGAGTTTATAAGAGATACTTCTACCTATGGATAATATAATATAATGATATTATATGTTTTACGAAAAATATTACATATTACTATATTAGGTACCTCACTACCTATAATATTATATTATTGTGTTTTGATTGTTACGAGAATATTTTTAACAGATAGTACACTTGTACCTATAATAGTATTTTCAATAATAATACAGTAGGCAATATAAAAAATACGAATTTTAATCAAACATGAAAATGCGTTCACATTTTGTATGTACTTACCTATGTTTACAATGTTATAACTTAGAATTTCAATTCTATTTATTTTATAGGTTTAGTAAGTTTTTGTTATTATTGTATCGGTTTTCGTTACCTTCACATTTATAGGTACTAGGCAGGTTCGTTAGCGATAAACTTGTTCGGAAAATGTATTCGTTTTAGGCTTGACTATAGACTATAGTTGAATATAGTATAT